AACTTTTTCATAGGTGAAAAAACATAAAGTAAATGACGTGATGAGCTGATGAAAATGAGGGAGCGTTCCCAAGTTTTGCCTTTAAGGGGAGATGATGGCGTCATTGCTGGTAGCACTTTGAGCAGCCACGTTGTGGACCACAGTCAAACCTCCCCTCTCCCAGCTTTCGTTTTTTGGTAGTCAGTGTATGTGAATTTGTATTAGACAATGCCGATGGAAAATTTTTGTCACAAATAATTCCTCAGTAGTATTATTATCTCAAATAAATTTTATGAATTTTAACGTCACTGCCAATGGAATATTGACAACGAACAACGATGTAAGGGAACTATTATTTTTGGCAGTACCTTTTCGACAGTCAAATCACCCTCTCTTAAGAAAACAGAACCCTCCCTTTGTTCTTCAGGCGCTACCGGCGATTCTCTTTCCTCTTTCCACTTCTTTCAAGCCCGAACCCCTCCTTCTTCTCTCAACTTCCTCGCATTCTCTCCTCTCTCCCTTCCCATTTCTCTCAAATCCCTCACAGTCTGATGCATTCAAACTTTCAAGGGTTATAATTTGGTCTTCGTTTTTCTAGCGTTTTGTGCTGTTGAGTGTTGCATTTTGGGGTTGGATTGTATAGAAAAATATGAGAAACAAATAAAAAATTAATAAAGTAACTAAAAATAAAAAATTTTGAGACATGATTTTACTGTTTTTAATGTAATTTTCATCAATTTCTTTCGAAATACAAAAATCAATGTAAAAAAAAATTATAACGGTCATCCTTCAAGAGGTCATTCCTTGAATAACAATAACATAAGAAAAATTTTATTTTAAAAAAAAATCCAACAAAAAAGTAAGAAAAACAAATAAAATATACAGAGAAAGTTTAAAGGATATAAAAGAACCGTTGGTATATTATAATTGAGATAGAGAGATTGTATTTATAAGTTGGAGTAGAAAGTTGATATTACAAAATATCAACATAAAATCAATGAAAAATAAGAAAAAATCAAGAAAAATTATGGTCTAAATTTTTTTTTCTAGCTTCAAAGTTATTATGAAACTCTTATAAAAATAATAGATTTTAAAATTAAATTAATTGAAAATTAAATTAAAACTGTTAAGTAAAATAAATTATATGAGTTTTAATTTAAAATTACGATGAAGGCTATTCATCCTATCTTCAATCATCTAATAAATTAAAGCAGAACAAATTTGCTTCGAGTTTATATACGATTTCAAATATTAAAATCAAAAAAATTAATAAAAAAACAGAATAACTCTCGAACTTATATGGTAATAATAGTATTAGATTTTGTTGTGAAAAATAGAAAAAATCTTTAAATAATACTTAAATGTAACTTTGTTGAGTTTTCTTTTCTCTTAATCTTTGTAAGAATAAAAAAATTTAAAATTTTATTATTTTATTGCTGGGTCTTTTATTTTTTATTTTTAGTAATCTTCGTAGAAGGGTGATTTGTAAAGCGAGGGAGAGAAGAGGGATGGGTATTTTTTAAAAACCTGACATGTTTTTAAAAAAGAAAAGAGAATGCCTTCTCTTTGAAGCTTTTCTTTAAACTCTTTTTTTAAAAAAAAAAAAGTTATTTTTTAAAAATAAGTTACTTTTTTTTTTTTGAGTTTTTCAAAAATTCTATTTGGCCAAACATGCACTAAGTTAGATAAGGTTAACGAACTCAATCACTAAGACTGTTTCAACTGTTAAAAACTGAGGAAAAATAAAATTATATACCAAAGTACAAAATTATACTTGGGCTTAGCGCAAAGAAAGGAGAATTTGCACTTTCTTAAGACTTAGCTTGATCTCATTTGTGTATAAACTCATATTTTTTTCCTTGAAACAAGCTCATTGTGGGTTTTCATAAATAAGGCACTCATCTTTCTTGTATCTTGGCAATATGAGATGTTATGACCTTATGAAATATACTATTTCTCTAACAATCTCCACATATTTCATAAGATCTCATAAGAAGATTTTTGCTGGATAAAATTTCATTTGAGTATAATATATCGCGATTTGTCTTTTTGAGCTATGAACTAGCCTTAGACAGAATGAAACATAAATCACGAAATTATAGTGAAGTTTGTAACTTTTATAAATAAAAAAATTCTATGTGAGCAATGATTTCCATCAATCACATTGCACCTTCACAATTTTTGCTGTTTAATACGATTTTGTGTGAATAAGTCTTGCGCGTGTCTAATTATTCATAAGTGCTCTATTGAACTTGCCATAATTTTCATAGATTTGACCCCACTCCACACTTATATAAGTGATTCCATCAAGTGTATATTGTAGTTTAATACACTACCCATAAAGGATATAAAATTCATTAATAATTTAACTCAACCTCTCAGTCATTGCAGTCTTGCAATATTTACACACCTTAGGAATGACAAAGATTTTTAATAGTGCATCAATTTATTAACAAATAACTCATTATTATCCATATGAACTTAATTTATGAAATCTTCAATCACATAGATTGGGTTACCATTATTTATTGATTTTTTTTAATTGGCTTAAATCCTATTCCCCTAGATGTATCATTAATCAATTTTCTTCACAATAATTTAGTTAGAGGATCACCCAAATTCAGCTCTAATTTTACATAATTAATGGACATAATTCTACCTTTAAGCAGTTGCTTTACTACATCATGTCTCAAATGAATGTGTCTATTCCTACCCTTAAAAGTTTGATTCTTTACAATGGTTATTATTTATTGGCAATCACATTGCATAGACAAAGAAAGTGTTGCTTTCATTCCTAGTGGAACATCAGCTAAGATGTTTCTTAATCACTTAGCATCATTACTAGCTAATTGTAAAGTTACAAATTCTGACTCCATTGTAGATTTAGCAACTATTGTTTGTTTGGCTAATTTTCAAGTTATAGTACCCTTACCAAGGGTGAATACATAACCACTTATGAATTTTTTCTCATCCGAATCTAAGATCCAGTTACCATCATTATATCCTTCTAATACAGCTGAAAATCCATTGTATAAAATACCATAGTTTATAGTACCTTTCAAATATTTCATTACTTTGTTCAAGGTAATCCAATGATCTTGATTAGGACTTTGTGTATATATGCTCAGTCTACATACAGTATAAGCTATATCAAGTCAAGTATAGTTCATCAAATGCATCAAACTCGCAATAATCTGAGCATTCTCAACTGAGCCACACTATTACCTTTATTTTTTTATTTGGATATTATCATTATAAGGAGTACTAACAAGTGCGATATTAAAATGTTTAAACTTTTTAAGTAGCCTCTCAACATAATGCTTTTGTGTTAGCATTAAACCATTACTACATCTCATGATTTTAATACCCAAAATAACATTAGCTTCTCTTAGATCTTTGATAGCAAATTCAGAAGCTAAAAAAATATTTTGTTTTATTGATCACATCAATACATGTACAAAAATAAATATATCATCAATATATAAGCTAATAATCACATATTCATTATTAATAGTTTCTGTGTATACACGTTTACCAACTCCAATAGTAGAAAATATATTATTGACAAAAACTTGATCAAATTTCTCATGTCCTTATTTTGGTGCTTGTTTCAAGTCATATAAAGATTTAATTAATTTACAAACTTTGTTTTCTTGGTAAGGAAAAATACATCCCTCGGGTTGTGCCATGTAAATTTCTTCTACTAAA